GCAATTTTTAGAGTGTAGAAACGGCACACAGCGACACCCCAACGATAAAGTCATCCAGGAAAGCACTTTTGTTCAGAAACTAAAAATCTTCTTTTTACCCGGAAAGCATCCAAAATAAACCGAGGAGGAATTCCACACTCTAAAAAACGCTGGGTTGTTTCAACCCAAATTTGGGTCAAATATAGACAAACCCAAATGTTGAGTAAAAAATGTCATTTAAAGCCAACTTCAACTTTCACTTTAATTACATTTTTAACCCAACATTTGGGTTTGTCCATATTTGACCCTGTGAAGACATGCCCAGAGCAAAGACAGGAGACACTGCTTGCAGTCAGTGAAATCTTTATTGACTTCCAAATAAAGAATACAAAAAAATACCATAAACAAAACCCACTCAAGGTGACCCTCCTCACAGAAGTCCCTCACCAGAACTCCTTTCACAGACAAACATACATTCCTTTATACTGAAAGGGTCAACCATTTTACAGTAGTAGGGAATTTAAATAATGTTCACATACATAATACATAACTGTACTGAAAATGAAAATAAAATTCAAAATACATCAACCTAAAATTATACAAGGAAAATAATACAAATAATAAACAAATACATTTCTACACACAATGAACATAAACACAATAAAGCATAAAACAATAACCCCCTGCTCCCATTGAGAAATGGACTATGCCTACACTACCCAGAATTCTTTGGGATGGCATAAAATGAGGAACAGTAAAGCCGCAGGTCCTCAAGACACCCACCCCCCGGAAACCATGCTGCAGACAGACATGAACCCAGAAGGTAAGTTTTGCAAATGAGGATAAAACTAACGACTAATATAAATCCCAAATAAAGAAAATAAAGAAATAAATGTCTTGGTGTTTTTTTTTATCAGTCTAATGTGCACCTCAGACTAGAAAAAAGTTACCAAATAGTGAGAAACAAACATTTATAGAAGTAATATAAACCAAACAAACACAGGGGCCTACTCTGCCATCAGGGGTAAATTAGGACTTTGTCACACTCTAAAAAAATGCTGGGTTGTTTCAACCCAAATGTTGGGTTAAAAAATGTAATTAAAAACAATTAACTGTTGAAAGTGAAAGTTGAAGTTGGCTTCAAATGACATTTTTAACCCAACATTTGTGTTTGTCCATATTTGACCCAAATTAGGGTTGAAACAACCCAGCATTTTTAGAGTGTGTAATTGTTCCTCAGGTTATTTTGGATGCTTTCCGTGTGAAAACAAGATTTTTTTTTTTAGTTTCTGAAGAAAAGTGCTTTCCAGCATGACTTTATCGTTGGGGTGTCGCTGTGTGCCGTTTCTACACTCTAAAAAATTGCTGGATTGTTTTAACCCAAATTTGGGTCAAGAATGGACAAACCCAAATGTTGGGTTAAAAATGTAATTAAACAATTTACTGTTGAAAGTGAAAGTTGAAGTTGGCTTTAAATGACATTTTTAACCCAACATTTGGGTTTGTCCATATTTGACCCAAATTTGGGTTGAAACAACCCAGCATTTTTTAGAGTGTGTAATTGTTCCTCAGGTTTTTTTGGATGCTTTCCGTGTGAAAACAAGATTTTTTTTTTAGTTTCTGAAGAAAAGTGCTTTCCTGCATGACTTTATCGTTGGGGTGTCGCTGTGTGCCGTTTCTACACTCTTAAAAAATTGCTGGATTGTTTTAACCCAAATTTGGGTCAAATATGGACAAACCCAAATGTTGGGTTAAAAATGTAATTAAACAATTTACTGTTGAAAGTGAAAGTTGAAGTTGGCTTTAAATGACATTTTTAACCCAACATTTGGGTTTGTCCGTATTTGACCCAAATTTGAGTTGAAACAACCCAGATTTTTTTTAGAGTGAATTGCTCTTCAGTTTATTTTGGATGCTTTCTGGGTAAAAATATATATTTTTTTAGTTTCTGAAGAAAAGTGCTTTCCTGCATAACTTTATCGTTGGGGTGTCGCTGTGTGCCCCAAACATTTGTGTTTGTCCATATTTGACCCAAATTTGGGTTGAAACAACCCAGCATTTTTAGAGTGCATATTGCGAACAATTACATAGGGTTGACTCATTGAATCTCCTGAGTTTTGCAGGTTATTTCCCTTTTCTTTCCCAACAGATCCTCTCAGGTTTCCGCTGTGCATCAGGTGCTTTGTTCTGCCACACCCAGTGTTAATTCAGGTGAGCTCTGTTTGTGTGCGCTGGCTGTTTGAGCATATGGAGACGGCTGTGTGTGTGTGTGTGTGAGGTAGCCACCTGTGCTCTAAAAAAATGCTGGGTTGTTGTAACCCAATTTTGGGTCAAATATGGACAAACCCAATTGTTGGATTAAAAAATGCTATTTGGGTTTGTCCACATTTGACCCAAAATTGGGTTAAAATAACCCAGCATTTCTAGAGTGATGAGAGCGTGTTTTAGGCCTCTGATTTGTCCTCTTTTGTCACCACCAAAATATTTGTTCGTCAGAATTAGATGTTGTTTACCTTCTCTGGTGTCTTTTCATAACGAATGCCATTCAGGTGTAAGTTTACAAACTCGAGATGCTACAGTGAGTCATCATTTGCATAACGTAGTTTCATAACTGGGCCAAGGCTCTAAGAAATTGTGTAAGTTCTCATATTGTTTGTAATACATCAAACCGCGGTTGAATGATCAGCCTCGGGCAATCGTAGGGATTGCGAGAATATTGCTCAATTGTACCTTGTTTGAAATTGATCGAATCAGAGTGCAGAATGCTGCATGAAGCTGGAGAGCTTATTGGTTTCTTAAATGAGCCACTTTATCATTTTATCTGCGTGCACCTCAACCACGCCATCATGAAAAATGTCATCTCATCCATACATTTAGGCTGTGTGTGTTTCGTAAATAGACACGGACAGATCCACGTTCCGCACTACGGTGAGGCGCTTTAAAGCTACTTTAGCCAATACCAGCATTGATTTACTTGGATTTTGTGTTGCCAAAAATCTGTAAATGCATTATTGACTGATGTACTTGTTCCTCAAAGGGCCAAATGTGGCCTTTAATGTTGCACCGGCGCAGAGATTTACAGTACACCCTCTGTGTTCACCGGCAACCATTTGCTTTTGGCATTGTTCTTCGCGGACGACATTTCCACCTGGGTTCACAGACACGGAGGGATTTTCATATGGCCGCTTTCCACCAATCCAATCTGTTAGGGCAGCTCAGCTCTTAGATAAGGCAATGAAAACAGGCTCTGATGTAAGGCTATGAAGCCATTTACAGTCCTCTATTATGCCGGGATCCTTCCTGGATACACAGAGCTAATGTTTAACAAGGAGCTTGTGAAACCCTTCTGGCAGATGACCCATGACGGCGAATGAATCACTGCACTCAGGTGTTGGAGCTCGAAGGGGCAGGCTGGCTCCTCCAGGGCGAGTTGGATTTGCATAGATAAGCCTTTTCCCTTTTGATGCTTAATAGTTTGGTACTGAAGGAACAGACACCATTCGCGAAGATGAGAAGCGGCTGATAAGATAAGAAAGCCTTGGAAAGCAGACGGGATGCTGATTTTATAGATACCGCAGGGGAAAGGGAAGCGCTGCACTTAAGCAAAAGTCATTATTCACTACTAGTGATTAAACTTTAGGGGCTTCAATGAGGCTATTATATGCATAGGTTGCATTCAATGCCTATCATGCACATGTGCAGGCATCAATCACATGAACGGCATGACTAGTAAACGTATACATTTCAATGGAAAATATTATTACATTTGGTCCCCCAATTCTCAATGAGCTTTATCTATATCTATAAATAAAGATTTTGGAATGAATTTGATGTTGTAAAATAAAATAACCTATGCGTATTTTAATAGTGTAACTCGATCCTTTAGAATGCATTCATTGCTGCTCAAGAAGCACTTCTTATCATTATTATCAATGTTGACAACAGTTGTGCTGCTTCATATTCATGTGGAGACCATGATGCACTTCCATTCAAAAGTTTAAGATAAGCAAGTACATTTTTATTTTATTTTAAAAAAGTATATAAATTAATACTATTCAGCAAGGACACATTAAATTGAATTAAAAAAGACATTTATAATGAGAGAAAAGATTTATATTTCAAATGAATGCTGTTCACTTAATGTTTCTACTCAGGAATCCTACAAAAAGGCATGCATTTTCCACATAAATATTAAGCAGCAAAAACTGTCAGCATTGACTATTTTAGCAGAATAGTGCGCACACTTTAATGCAATTGCTGACTAAAACATTATGCCCTTTAATGGACATATATCACTCCAAAAGTACCATGGTAATCATTGTTTCCGACAAAATACAGTGGTACGGAAATTCTGAAAGTCATTATAAATTCAATAAACAGGTGATTTCCTTTATACAATGCAAGATGCATTGACACTCTTGGATCAAGAATCATGAGTAATGATGCAGAAAATTCAGCTTTGCGTCACAGAAATAAAAAAAATACATTACAGAAGCCAGTCAATTTAAATTATAATAATATTTCACAGTATTATAGACTTTTTTTTTTTTTGATCAAATAAATGCAACTTTGGTGAGATTAAGATACTGCTTTCAAAAACATTAAAACACATTAATGTTTCCAAACTTTTGTCCGATACATTCATTTGGAAACACACACACACACACACAATTTTTTAACAAGCTTGTGTTCAGTAATTTCACTTAAATTGCAATGAAGATTACCTATGAATTGTCATTTAAGTGAAATTACTGAATTTAAATATACAAGCTTGTTAAAAAGTATCATTGTAGAAGACAATTTCAAATATATATATATAGACCTCGAAAGAACTATTATTACATTGATCTGAATCGATACGTTGCAAACAAGTGGGCTAGAAAGTATAAACAAGCCAGCGCTGTCTCCCATTGGAGGATTTCTCGGACGTGTCCTGTGAGGTCATCCCCATGGATGTGGGAGAAGCTGCGGCATGACGCCAGTGACGCTCCGCCCTGCTGCAAACTCGACGCTCGCGTTCATTTCATTCCTGCTCTCATTCCGAGCATTCTTCGCATCTCTATCGGTGCGGCGGAGATTCACGTTCACATTCCCGGCCGGCCCCCCAAAAAACACAAGAATAACTTTAAACACAGTTTGCAAAAAAAAAAAAAACTATACAAACCCACACTAGAACAAAAACAAAGGGGCCGAACTTAAATGTTGATATAAATAAAGAAAGCGGACGTTAAGGTAAGTTTTAAGGTAATTAGCCCTTAACGGCTTAATATTGTATGGATTAAGTTAAAGCAGACGAGCAAATGCAAACTGTGTTGCGTGATTATGATTATTGATAGGCATGTAACAAGAGGGGTCGGGCTCAAAGTATCTTTTCAATGGGATTTTAGTGCGACGCAGCAGCAACAGGGTGCTGCTTTCACTTTGTCCACTGACTCAGTCTGACATAGCACGAAAATCTTTGACATTTTTCACATTTTTTTGCTAAAGAAGCTGACCTTGCGCGCTCGCGCTCTGCAGTAAGTCCTGCACATTTACACCAGAAACAATACGCGTCGTTTTGGGGAACGTTTTTTTTTTTTTTTGGACATTGATTATTGCATGAAAAGATTTTTTTTTGGACAAGATGACGGATCCAAATGTTGCTGTTTTCTCCTCCATAGTTGGCTATTTCGGAGCGGTGCACAAATATATCGAGGAGAGACTTGTTGCTCGCGCATCTTTGGCGTTTATTCTCCAACTTCTGTTCAGATCTCAGCCGTAAGTACATTTGGACTTTTTTCTCCCCTCTTAATGTATTTGACTTAATGTACGTGAACTCTTGCCCTCTTCACTTGTACTATGGCTATTTCTTTGTTTAACACTCACAGGAAAATAGCTACATATCCTTAAGCTTTAATATCTGTGTCTTTTATTTTAAAAACAACAACAACAACACTGTGTTCTCGCACTTTACCTGACAGAGTTACTCCTCAGAAACTTTAGTTCACTGTTGTACAGTTTAAAAGTTTGTCCAAATCTGTTCTACAATTCTAGCAGTTGTTGACATTGTTTTAATGTTCCTGAGAATCTGGCTGCTATTCCTCTGTCATTTCCTTTGTTGGGATTGCCCGCCCTGTTTCTTATGGACTAATGTCGTGCTTCAGTGTGTTGTATTGCGACTTTTTAAACGATAATGCCGGTTAAAATATAGTGTGTCAGTCACTGTGTGTGTTTTAAAGTAGGTATCTTATTCAGAAACGCTGTTTCATCACAAACAACGAAACTATGAATGTAACAGCATAGCTTAGCCTAGCAATTCATCAATGACTAGCTTTACCAACTCCACACTAACTACTCCATGGCATATATTATTGTTCTTTGACGTTTATAAAAGCTTCACTCTCCATTTGTGAATTCATTAGTTATGAAATCACATATCGCACTTTCAGCTGCTTAAACCCAAGATAAAACGAGCTGTGAGTTTCACTTTTCAATATAAATTCTGGGTATCTCTTTATTTTATGCATAATTACATGCAACCAAGCCAAACTCTAACCATTTAGTAAGTACTTGTTGTTAAGTTACTCAGTGTAACAAAGACACATTAACCCACACTTTACTCCTAAAGTGTAACTGAATTTGGTGACAATTTATTTTAAGGTGACATAACAGTAACTAACACTAAACCAAACCCGGTAACACTTGATTTTACAGTGTCCTTGTCACATGTGCGATGTGTATTTACCACAGTAATAACGGTAAATTATGCATAATTACATGAAACTAACCCTAAACCAAACCCTAATCCTTACCCTATAGGCTTATAGTAATTACAAAAATGTATAATTACGGTGTAATGAAGACACTTTAGAATAATCATAACTCTATAGTTAACATGTAGATGTAGTAAGAAGATAATTAATCTTATTCAGTCAATGTCCCCTTAAAATAAATTGTGATATTTTTACGTTTTTACAGTGTATTGTAATTGAAGTCAATAATATTATAGACCTATATATGACTGAATCAAGCTGACTATAGTAGGCTTCTTAATTCAAAGTCATTAAGGGTTAGATCACACGGTTAACCTATTAAAATTGTTGCCTTAGGATGCCACAGCCTGCATGTCATTTTTACTATTTTGGCCACTTGAAATGTCATATGATGAAATTTGAGTTCAAGAGTAGAAATGACAGAAAAGATTACGAATTGATGGAAACATATTGATTATTACTGTGCAGGAAATCACATTTTTTTAAAACACTTTTTGTCAGTGTACTATAAGAACACAAAGCAGCTGTCTCGATTTTCTTTAATGCAACATGTTTAAAACGGCGGACCCTTGCCCTGTTCTGGACTTTAATTCTTTACAGGAAAACAAGTTCCCTATTGTGTGTTTTGGGAAAAGACCTCTTTTCTTGCAGTTAATTATTGTCTTATATTTCACATTGGTCTCTTTTATAAAGAAGGGTCCGAGCGACACAATGTGTTGTTTGTGTCCTCTAACTGAGGCATTATCATGTACTACAGTAAACAGATTGACTTCTATCCGATATATGCCCTGACATGCAGTCTCACAGTGTAAAACTTGTATAAAATAGGCATAGGAATAAGTGCCCACATAGACCTGTTGAACACGCTTGCTTGACATTTTCAAGTCAGAGAATGAAACATTGTCTCACACTGAATCCATCAGTTGATGTTGAACATCTGACTCTTGATCAGATGTGGTTAGAAAACAGAAGAACTTTATAAAAGTTAGCCACATCCATTGGGATATAAAACTGGAAAGCATATAAAATAAGAGTGGGAATAATTTTATGATGCAGTGACTAAAGTTTGCAAACTATACCTTTACTTTAGTTGGCTGTTTGTTAGTATATTGCTAACTTGTGTTAACCGGGTTGCTTCATTGTAAGGTACACTGTAAAAATGAATATGCTTTGTCTAATCAATAGAATTGTGGCTACAGATTACAAGCAATATTATTAATTAAATTTAACAAAGGAGAATTGAGTAATAATCAATCAAATTATTAACAATTTAAACCAGTTTACACCCAAAAAATTAACAAAAATATCTCAATATCTCATATCTCAACAGACAGACGTCACAGATTAATTAAGAACTCTTTATTTTATATTGCCAACATTGAAAACATCTGATGTTAACAAGCAGAATCACGGAAAGAGAAAACCGTGATTTTAAAACAAACACCGATCACCATAATGGCGACTTCAATTTATGTTTTTTTTGCTAGTTTTACTCATTTTAAATGGTTAACTTTTATGGAATTAATTTGATTAATTATTACTCAATTCTAATTGATTAGATAAAAAACATATTAATTTTTACAGTGTATGTGCTGTTACTGTATTATTATCATTTATGAATGAGGAACAGATTGTCATTTCAGCTCCACTGAATTGAAGCGCTACCGGTGATCTTTATATTGCATACAGCCTCTCTAATATATAAATTGCACATAATGAAGCTTTACATAGTTATTTATTGATCAGAACACGGCTGACAAAAACTCTAAATGAGTTATTAAAGTACTGTTTTTTTCTTTGCAAAAGTAGTGCATTGCCCTTTCAAGCTATAATCTCTGTTAAGGAAAATAGCATAGGCTATCACGTCCATAAATAATGAATTTGAATCAGGAGGGAAAAACATTAATTTCAATACTTTCTGTTTCAGTGGTGCTGGTGCTCTTGAAGAAAGCAGTCTTTCAGTTGTGAAATGAGAAGAGAATAGGTGCATTGCTCAGACATAGTGGATTGGGTTACCTCTGGGAATGGAGGATTGTGGGGGAATGGGAGCGTACAGAGAGAAGCTATTGTTTTTCCTGTTGCTGAGCCGGGGAGGAGTGTGTGTGGCTGTTGAGTTGTAGAAGGCAAACAGTTTCGCGCTCAAGCAGACATCTGGTTTAGACCCTTTCTGCACCTGTAAGAAAAGAAAAATGCAAATATGAACGTTTCCTCTCGTTTACCGCTCAGGGAGTCCAGGCTAACACTGTGCCCGTCATTCGCTGCCTAGGTCGGGCTATTGTTATGCCAGCAACAGGCGGCAGCGGTCGCGGGACCATATGGCCCATGTATGCTTCAGATAAGATATCTCTTCACTCAGCTTATCAATGGCTTTTTAAATCGCTTCATATTTGAGTCGCTAACTTTCTGTTAGCCAGAATTGACATGTTTGCCTCCAAGTTGTTTCTTTTAAAAGGATGAAAGATCAAAAAGTTGAGTCTGACTGACATCCTGCGCGCGAAACAATAGCATTTCCTCGGTTTGTGTTTTTTTATGTTCCCGTGTGGGATTTATGCTATCAGTGTACGAGCGAATCTAATGGTGTTTATATTATTGAAATATTTGTAGTAATACTACAACAAACTGTTGTGTAAATCAAAATCTGTGGCGATCTTTTTACCCCCCCCCGTTGGAAACTGCAGTGAATCATTCAAGAGTTGTTTTGAATCATGTGCAGCATTTCATGAATCAACACCTGGTACATTGAAAACACGCGATTCGAGCCTCATGTTGATGTTTTTATTGACTGCATGTGATTTATGTTCAGTCGGAAGGCAGCGTGGAACAAATAGGTTTATGATGGTGACGCATATGAAATAGGGTTTACCTCAACAAGGCTAAAACAGATATGAATGAACCGCACAAAAGTGCCTTTGCCACTTCTAGAAGCAGCTAACTCACTTTGCTGTGCTCTGTGGTCAGGGGTAATGTGAACTACTAAACTCTGCTGGGAGACAGACCAACACAAACAGCCACGTCCTGTGTGTTTTACTCTTCATAGGCATCATTTCCTATTAGAATCTATCTGTGGTCAAACAGGAATCAAGATTATCGCGGGAGGGGTTAAAAAAAATCAAAGCCATGGAAAATATTATACGGTCCTTGGAAGGGAAGGTCCTCGGTTTAATGATTGGCGTAAAAGCAGGCGCATGTTAAAAAGGAATTCTGTAATATATATTTAGTGAATATAAAGGATGGATATGTTTGGCAGCAATATTCTTGTCTCTTCTCACTAATGCCAATGCTAAGAGCTCAACAAAGCAGATGCTGTTTTATACAAACCCAAGTTGGTCACTCTTTTCTGATTGATTTTATGGTCTTTGGATGGATCCTCTGTTTTTTGTTCGTGACACAATGCAATGTTTTGAAGAAAATGAATCGCATACGTTGGAAGGAGAAAAAAGGAAGTGTGTCATGTTGGTTATTAACATCAAATTTACTAAAGTCTGACAGTTCGCTACCATGTGCGTCAAAACCGCAGCACGTTTTACAAATGAGCGTCCATCAAGTAGGGCTCTTTGTGCACTAAATGCATGTTTTTCAATCTAAATGAATTTAGGTGATGCACCACTAACTGTCAATCTGTTTCAGTGCTGGAATTGTTTATATTAGTTCACATCAGCTGAGTAGTTCAGTTTAAAAAAAAAAAAAACTTTTGCTGATAATTTACTCACCCCCATGTCATCCAAGATGTCCATGTCTTTCTTTCTTCAGTTGAAAAGAAATTAAGGTTTTTGATAAACTTTCCAGGATTTTTCTCCATATAATGGACTTCAATGGGAACCAGACGGTTCAAGGTCCAAAAGACAGTTTCAGTGCAAACTGTTGAAAGGGCTTTAAACGATTCCAGACGATAAATAAGGGTCTTATTAAACGAAATGATCGCTCATTTAAAAAAATAAATAATACAAATGCTCGCCTTTCTCTGTTCTGTGTGACTCTCCTGTTCGAACTCGTTCATCAAAATGA